GGCTGCATAATGTGACAGGGCAGTGACGGTCCCCTCCTTTCTTTCACCCTCCCCACCAAACACTTTTCTGCAAAATTAAAAAAGAAAAAAAAAAAAATCATAAAAGCCACTATTGCAACTACATCACCATATTAAGGATGGAAACAGTGACCAGCAGCTTGTGAAGGCTCAATCCCAAAGGCTACTCCCTGAGCAGAAGGGACTGCTGTTGATAGTAAGTGCCTGCCTGCCTCCCAATTAAAATAAATTCATAAATCAGGGCTGAGTTCAGAAGATGTGAGACCTGCAAGCTGGACTGTAGTTGCCTAGCTGATGCTGTGTACTGCCCAGAAACTTTCCTTTCTATTTTTAAACTCCTTTCCCACAGCCATGCCTCTTACTGGTGCTTGCTTGAACATATGAGGAGATGAGCACAGTCCCAAGGCGGCTGGCTGTGGTTATAGATGCGGTGGGTGCCTGCTGAAAATGGAGTCCGGTTATAATTAATATCTCCTGTCAAGTTACAGATACTTTTTCATGGTGCAACTGTCACCTCGTGAATGGCTGGGGTGCTAAACAGCAGTCTCTGGCCCAGAGCCTGGCCGGGGACAGCTTTTTGCTGGAAGATGTAACCCAGTAATAGATATTACTTTATAAATCACTCAGTGTGTTAACTGTAACAGGAGGAGTGAGGTGGGGAGAGCACCGAAGGAGAGAAAATCCTACTGGAAACCTCCTGAGGGAACGTTCAACAAAGAACCCATTAATTAAGTGACCTTTCTGTCAACACGTGAAGACTGACGATGTTCCAGGGCCAAGAGAAGGCCACGGATGGTTTGAACTTGATCAGCAGGCTCAGGATGCTGGGGAGTCGTAGGGGAAAACAGCTCTTTGCAAGAATGTACCAGGACTTGGTTACCACACCACACAACAGCCTCAACATTTGAGGAACCTCTGCAGGACCCAAGATGTGGTCCTGTAGACGGCACAGCACCTGCAAGTAGCAGATGCAGAAGAGAGCCTTGCAGAGCCATGCCTTTAAATCATAGGCTTAAAGGTTGTTCGCTTCAAAGGCAATTGGAGGGCTGTGTGCCTCAGAAGGTCTCGTGCTTGGAAGCTAAGAAAACAGAAGGTCTTGTGCTTGGGACAGAAAAGCCTAGCAGGCACCCAGGGGGAACAGTCCGCCCCGATCCCAACAGCGCACCGGGTACCACAAAACCAACACGGGGGGGCTTGGCTCCACTTCACTCGCTCGCTTCACATAAAAGCATTGAACTGTGGCAATCCAACGGGGCTGAGTTTCCTACAGATCCAGTCAAATGGAAAAATAGATCAGATAAAGCAGATCGGACTCGTCAGAAACCGAGGCATCACCACAACAGCCTGCCACGGGCTCAGCAGTGTATCTCTCCCGATTTAAAAGCCAAACCCCGAGACTCCCAGAAACACGATGCCCTGGGTCTGACTGAGGATGAGGAGGGTAAAAAAGAGCATGTGCAGGAGGTGAAGTGCAAGGGATGCATCCAAGAGGAGAACAAACCCTGAAGGTCAGAGTAGCAAGCACATGAGCGGCTAACTAATGTACTACAGCAGCACCACAGGGCACAGACACAGGCACACACGTCCTAGCAAAACTGGAAAGCCATAAAAGTCTATTACAGCAAATCAAACAGCAGTCAGCATGACAGCCATTAGCCTGAAATGAATACACGAGAACTTAATGAGCTCTGTCGAGGCCAGCTTGGTGAATTAAGTTGCCAATTCTAGCAGGATTCCCCTTTTCTTTACAGACTTGAAAGCGTCCGCGCTGCCTCGTTGCCTTTTGACAAGCAAATCACGGGGCGCCCTTGCCCAGACGGAACGGACGATTACGCTGGAGCAACGTCCCTCTCCCGACGCGCGGGCCCTCGCTCAGCTATTCCAGGCAGGTGCCGGGGATGTGATTAAGGCATGACAAGCACAGAGGACCAGTGGCACCAGCCCAACACACGAACGATCCCTGGTCTGTATATTTGGAGCTGCTGCAACACGGAGGAGCCCACGGTTTAACTCTCCCCCCCTCCTCCCCACGCTACAGAGGAATCGTGTCCGCAGCCCGTACCCAAATAAATTCCCATTCTCAAGTCAAGCGAACTGTGTAAAACACCAGGGTGAGTATTTAAAGTCAGTATTGTTTTTAAAGGTCAGTTTATTCCATGTTCCATTTATTTATGCACACTCTTCTTTTGACTTTCCTAGTGCCACACAATAGCAGTGAGGTTTAAATAGCCTTTCTGTTGCTGCTCCATTAGCTAGGACAACTGCAAATCGATACATCCATTTATCTCAAAATTAAAAAGAGAAAAACCCTCATTAGCTGCCAATTCTGCACAGAGCCAGTCTATGCAAAGCCGCACTAGCACTTCTGCTAGCCTCTTCTCCATCCCCAGGCTCCAGCCCCTCTTTAATCATTAGCTATTGGCCCTCTGGCTTGGGCTGGCTGGCCTTCGAGACAGATTTCGCTACCCATGCCCTTGCTGCTCACCGTGGCCGGAGCCATCTAGAGCACAGGGGGTAGACCTGGGGATGCTGTCATCCCCTACCATGACTGGTTCCCCAGCCTCAGCTGCATCCCAGGTGTCCCCTGCCTCTGTAGCCACATCTCCACGCCACGTCACCTCCAGCTTCGAGTACTTGTGGACAAGCAACAGGGACAACCCGTGGCCCAGCAAAGCTCTCAAAGTAAGAGAGGCATCTTTTCCTTGCGAGTCATGCCAGCACACGAGGAGGAAAGTCACTGCTCGCATCTCCCTCGGGCTGTAGCCCTTGGAGGGTCCCTCCTTAGGTAGTGGGACCCTACCCCCTCCTCTCGCAGTGCCTGACAAGGAAAGGCTGCCTCCCCGGCAGAGGAACAGAAACGCCTCCAGGACGCTGGCTGAGCAACGAGTTTGTGGCTCATTACCTCTGATTGGTGCCCTTGGTTAAAGATCATGGATAGAAACTGGAAACTGGCACACGATGCCTTGTAATTAGATTAGGCCAACCTCCAGAAAAGCACAGCTCTGAAGGCCAAGTGGCAGAGCGGGTGAGCGCAGGGGGAAGCCCTGTGCTTGCTATACCCTGAACAATCAGACGGTCCTGGAAATCCCTCCCGGCAGAACCCGGCAGTTCACATGCAAAGCAGCATGACATCCAAGAGGGAGGCTCTGGGGTTCATCTGCTGCTTCTTTTATTTATTTTTTGGCCAGGTCACCCGCCCACAAGTTCCCTTTCCTCAGCCAGCCTTAATTTTCCACACCAGCGCTGGACCTTTGCCCTCCCGGCTCCCCAAGCTTGAAGCAAGTTAAGATCAGAAATGTGTTAAGTCTTAAGATTTGCAATATTGGCTCTTAGGGCAGAAGTGACGAGCAAGAGGAGATCCAGCACACCTGCCCCAGGTGTATAAACACCAGGGTTTAACACAGCACCAGTTCCCAGGGGAGATACAGAAACCCACTTTCCATCTCTTCACGTGCAGAAGGGAGTCCTCTGTACCAGGTGTTGTAAAGAGCAAAACCAGAGGTAAATCTGAGGGCAGGGGAGAAGAGGCTATTCTCCTTCAGCCCTACCGACACTCCTTTTGCTTTGCAGACCTCTGCAGACAGACCATCACCAGGAGGAGTGGTAACAACTCAGGGTGGTCACCCATCAGCTTCCAGAGGTCCGAGCAGAAAGGTGAGAGCGAGGAGCAGCTCGTGCAGGTTTTGCCAAGTCATTTCTGCACCGTTCGCGCTTTAAAGAGGAGAAGAAATTACTCTGACCCAGTGTCATTCTCAAAGGGAGGTTTCAGATGACTTGGCGCAAAGATGAGACTAAAACTCCCGGATCATACATCACAAGCAACTTAATGAAGAAACCTCATCCTCGCAGCAGAGGGACAGGGAAAGATCAAAGCCCAGCACGGCAGGGCATCAGCAGGCAGCATATTAAATAAACCGTTGTAACACAATCGTTTGTACCTCTCAATTACCAAAGACTGCTTGATTTCACACACACAGACACACACTTGACCTCATCCACACCCCGAGACATGCTCTGGGAAAAACAGGCTCTGCCCTGGCACCAGGGTGCAAGAAGGAGAGGCTGCCTCCACTGGAGGATGTGAAATGCCCTACTAATCCCCCGTTTCAACTTTAATACCTTGGCCTTGTCCTCCTAGAACCAGCAGACACCTTCCACTCCCCATACTCAAAGCCTAAATTCACACCAGATCTGTAAGTTCCCGGCGTATTTCTGCCAAGCTAAGCTCTAGGTGCAGAAGCTCTCCCTGACGGTATGACTAGGTGCCACCTCCCTGGCAATGGCCAGCACACCGAGAGAGCTGCAGAAGGGTGTGGAAACCCTGTCCTTGGAGACATTCAACATTTGGCTGGAGAAAGCCCTGAGCGACCTGATCTAATACGAAAATTCTCTCTGCTTTAGTGGGAGCTTGGACCAGATGATCTCCTGCAGTCCCTTCCTACCTACTTTATTCCTAGAACATCATGGGCTGAGTCCTGCTACGGAGCTGTTAAAAGAGACCACCAGCAAGCACAGAAGCCTTTAGGCAGGAGTCTTCCAGAAATCAAGCATTTGGAGAAATATTTATTCCTGCCTCAGGACACACCTCTATGACAAGAGCTGCACATGCCCCCTGGCTCAAAGGAAGAGAAAAAGAAACAGTTTCCTCTTTACAGCTAATTTCAAACTTCACATTTGTCATGGGAAAGAGATCACCAACGCTACAAAGGCTCTGAGCTCCAAACCTCTTCTTCGACCTGCCCTCCCCCAACATCCAAAACACTGTCGCTTTGCTTCTGCCCATTTTCAAGCAACAATAACCTCCAGAGGCTTAATCCTCTCCCCAGCCCCTGCGAGGGTCAAGAGCAGGAGGACAGTCCAGTACTTCCGTGGCCCTCCCACAGCCAGGCAGATAGCCCTGAGGTGGCAACCAGAGGGCAAAAGTGGCCACTGAGGGAAGGGCTGGAAGCCAGGCTGCCGGGAGAGGCTGCGGCGATCCCTACCTCGGGGATGCGGACGCTGTAGGGCTGGTTGTGGAACTGCGGGGCGTTGTCATTCACGTCTCCGACTTGGATGTTGACCGTCCCTTTGATCACCTGCGGTCACAAGGGTAACGACAGGGAGCAGGCGTCAGCTTTACGGATGGATTTAAAACCTAAAGCAAGCGTGTGGCGGTGTTTTCTGACTTAGGTTTTTGGCAAGTCACGGCCAGGGGTGACCCCTGCTCCCCAGATCCCCCCAGGGTGATGCAGAAGGTCCCCCAGCAACCCACGCTCATCCTCTCCCCTCTGCCCGTGCCGCAGACCGTGAAATGAGAAGTCACACTTACCCCTTGGCTGTCACTGACAGAAAATTCAACTGTGAATTCTGACTTAGTCTGAAAGGGAAGGAGGAGAAAAACATATAATTAAAGATACTGTAGTGTTTATCTGCAGATGTCAGGCTTGGGACTTTTAGCCAACATTATTACATGCAAAATGCTTTCAGGACCTTCGAGAAGAGGAGGGGCGCTTGAGTGCAATTACCTACATTGAGTATAAAACGCTGAGAAATATTAATGCCAGCAGGGCTCCAGTGTATTTCAGAGGCGCAGAGAGCTGCGCTGCCCTGGGTCAGGAGGATGTGGGGACTAGGGAACCAGCTCCCCAGCTAGCAGCCGAGCTCTTTAAACAGACAGATAGGCTGAAATGGGTGAGAGGAGCCCGCTGTTTAACCTTCCGCAGCGTGCCGGCGAGCCCCAGGTCTCTCCTCGATGCCGCAGGCTGCCTGCTTGTAGCATCAAGCGGGAGTAAGTGCAAGGCAGAGAGAAGCAGTTTGCACCCCGGGTTGTACTGTGGCACCTCCTCTGACTGCCAGATACAGGGACGATGCAAAAAGAAAAGGAAGTCCAATGAAAAAGCTGTGTGATTAGCTTTGGTTCGAGACGACGAGGCAACGCAGGATGACTGAGGACATCTAAATCTTGCTGCTGCTTTCCCAACTTACCTGCCGTGCAGCAGTTCTTGGGATATCACATAGCTGGGAATGTTGGGATAAACCCAGGGTCCGTAGTAAGAACTGGCTGAAATCCCATAAGCCCATTCAAAAAAATTGCCTGTGCAGTCCTCTCTGCCCCTTATTGCTTTAACTAAATTAACAGCTTGGTCTTAAATGGTAATAGATTAAAGTCACTGGTGCTGGGGTGAGGGACAAGTAGGGAAGAGGGAATTATTTTGGTGGCAATGCAGGGGGATATTGCTAGTGGAAGCAGACCTCTTCCTGACCTTTCTTTTCCATCGTTTCATTCACATTTTCAGCGATCGTTTCATTCACATTTGACCAGAAATCATGCAGGGTTGGACAGCAGGACTTGGGCCATCACATCTATCTGGTGCCTGGGCTCCGTCTGGTGTTTTAGTTCCCTCAGTCCCAGCAATCCCTTCCTTCTCCAGCATTCCTTCCCACCCCCAGTGACCCTTTTTTTTTTGCCAGAGCACAGCAGCTTGACGTTTCCAAAGCATCGTGCAGGTAAGGCTGGAAAGCAAGCTTGAAATGGCTCTCCATGCTACAGATTTGGTTGATTTATTCCTAATAAGATCAGCTCAGGGACAGGTAGCAGCGCCCGGACTGGGAGCTCTGCTTGCACCAGGGTAGCAGTTCATCTTGGAGAAGGGTTTGGGGAGACAGTTTACCAGAGCATGCACCCCCCTGCCCCCACATCTGCTCCCCCAGCCTCCCCCACTCCATCCAAACAGCCGGGGAATTCAACCTGATAAAGCCTTTCCTAGCTGGGGAATGCTTGCAGGCAGAAGAAAGAGCTGAAATGCAGATGGAGAGGAGAACCTCTGCTCCTTGTGACATCCCACCCTGCTGCGTCAGTGCCTTTCACCGCCTTCCCCCCCCCGCCACGCATCGGTGGCACCGCGAGGGACAAAGCAGTAGGGAAGAAAGGAAAAATAAGAGATAAGAAACAACCTGTTGAGCATTTAAATTTTAAAAACTTGATAACATAATCAGAGAAAGCTGCCACATGCTAATTTGTCTCCCCCCTTCATTTCAGCACATACTTTTTTTAAACTTGGGCTGTGTCTTTTTTTTTTTTTTAAGACCTGTTTTCCTTCTAATCTTTGTGGGAGTAAAAAACATTTTAGATTTGTTTTGCCTTTATACATCCGCTCCTTCCTCTTTTTCTCCATTTTTTCCCTTTTCCTGCATCATTTACCTTACTATGACTCCCTCTCTCTTTTCAAGTCTCTCTTTCTCCTCTGTTGTACAAGAATTGTTCTCTTGCTTTTTTTTCTTCACCACTTTTCTTATATGGCGTTCCCTCCCCTGACTTTTTGATCGCATTCATCCAGGCCAGCATTCTCTGCTCCCAGCGCGCTGCCCACCCTCCATCCCTTCCCCTCCCACGCCATCCAGCTTCCTCCACCACGGAATTGGCATTTTTCACACCTTTTCCCTTATCCATACCAAGCTGTGCATATGTCTGTCCTCACCCTTTTCCGTGTATTGCTGACTTTGAGCCCCTCGGATCAGTTGACGGGTGCAGGCTCCTCTCCCAGTTCAGCCTGGCCATACATGCAAGCTCTGCTCAGCTCCTCCTCTTCCTACCCTCCATCAAAAGCCACCTAAAAATCTATTGATCACCCTCCTCAGCTTAAGGCTGTTATCATAAGTATTGGGAAGAGGTAAGCATTTGAATAAGAGAAGATTTATGACTCATGCCAGCAGCTGTTGGCACGGGGAGGCGGAGGGGAGAGGGGTGAAGAAAAAAGTTTTATTTTTCCAGAGCCTCGCTCTTAACGCTGTGGAATTGGGTTTGCCCGTCCCCAGCCTGAGCAGCATCCACCGCCCCACTCCTCCCCATCCCCACATCTGCCCGGCTCCGACCCGGGCTGCCGGCACAGACTGTCAGCCCTGGGGGTGCAGGTCAGGTAGTGTTTTTGCAGTCTTACAGAGCGCCTGCGCCGTCCCTTCCTCCTTGCTCCAGGAACAGAGCAAGGACCAGGGCTTCTGTAAAACAGGCACCAGGATGGGATACCATCTTTGCACACCAAAGCTGCCACTGAAAACAGGGGTGTAAAACAGCTCCAAGGCAAGAATCTTGCCAGATTTAGCGTCCAGCAGTCTGAATCCACAAGATGATCAAAACTCATGATGAGATTGAGAAAGCAGGGATACCTCACATCTCTCCACACACTGTTCTAAATAGTAAAGGATTTAATCAGAATATAGGTTTAAAGAGGGAGCCTGCAGATTTCCCTGAACGTAAGAGCATCCTGACTCTTTGGCAGATCATTTCCATTTATTGTTTTCTTTATTTCCAGCCTCACAGATATTATTCCGGGATCCAGGAAAACCAACAAGCCAGACCAAACCAGAGCACCCTGCTTATTCCCTGTGTCCCCACTGAGCTGGGGACGGTGACAAGGTGGCTAGGGACAGACCCTGACGTGGACACACCTGGATTCCCGATGTCGAATGGGAGCAACATTCAGGCTGCATCTCAGCTGCCACAGAAGGTGGAAAGCCATCATTTATCTGAGCAGAGATGGGTTTGGTTTTTTTCCCCCTCCCCTTGGCAGAGGATGCTCTCAGTAGCAAACGGCATTACCTCTCTGTCCAAGGGCTGCCTGAGCCAGACAACACCAGTCATGCTCTCCACTGCAAAGTACCGGCTGGCCTCCTCACCGACCACACCGAAGACCAGCGGATCGTTGTCCAGGTCCCGGGCCAGCAGCTGAGTAATTGAGGAACCTGGGAGAGATGGAAAGGAAAGAAATAATGAGCAAAATGGGACAGGGAGGAAGAAATCCTGAACATATGCAGCTTGCCAGGGAATGCAGGCCATCCCCAAACAGCAAGGGGAGTCAAGGTGTGCATGGTCATACTGTTCTCTCTAGCACAGATAATCCCAACCACAGCTCCTCTCCTCCCTCACCCTTATCAAAAGAGAGAGTTACACTAGCTCAGCAGAAGCATGGCCATTTCGGGCACTAGAGATAGTGGAGGAACCCATGCTTCTTCTCAGTAAGTGCCTACCAACCTCCCTCACACTCTCTCCCCCCCCCCCCCCCCCCCCCGACAAGGGGCACCACTAGCAGATACAACAACATTTCCAAGTGAAAAGCAAACATCCCAAGGCCCAGAGCACATATGTGGCGCCCACGGGTGCCTCAGGGATTTGGCAGGGCCTGGAGCCAGACACAGACCTGGGGTTTGCTTTAAACAGCAGCTGCAGCGAGTGCTGGTCTTCCTGGCATACGTGGAGCCCACGCACCCAGAGAGGCACTGGGACGAATCCACCACTACCTTCTGCCAAATCACATTTGAAGCCATCATCTGCAGCATCTTGAATACCCTGGACAACAGAGGCTTTGCTCTGCCATCCCTCGTGGGTGTGCGGTTGTAAAGGTCTCTTCCTAACAGCACCCGAGAGGCAACCCAGACCCCCTGAAGTTGCTGCGTGGGGCCACGTGTCCTCTCTCTGATCTCCACACCACTCCCAGAGCGGGATGACTTGTACTGCTCCAAAAGCAAGGGACGGCCACCGCCCTTGGAGCCACATTTCAGCCCCATAAGAAGCTCCTTGACTCATTTTGCACCTTTCCACGACACCTCTGATCGCATTTGAAGTCTGCTGGGGCAGGTTGACCATGGATGTCTGTCTGTTGCCCACCCAGCTGCTCTCAGTCCCCTCCTCAGCAGGATCGGGGAGAAAATAGGAGGAAAAAAGCTGGTGGGTAGAGATAAGGATGGGAGATCCTCTTGGCTGCCTGGCCTCAAAGATGGGAGTCAACATCCCCCGTGTGAGCCATCTTTGGCAATATGAGAGCACTCCCCGACCCCAAATCATCTGGCTGAGGAGAACAGATGCCAAAATTTCATTTAACTGCCCTTCTGGCAGACCAGGGGGTGAACACAGCAGCACAGCTTGGCGAGCAGAGCAACCTAACCTGGGCAATTACCGACCGGTTGGCCTGACATCAATCATGGCAGAAATAATGGAAAAAGCTGATATGATATTCCATTAATAAAGAACTAAATGATAGGAGCATAATTAATGCCAGTCAACACAATTTTATGGAAAATAGGCCTTGTCAAACAAACCTGATTTTATTCTTTGATGAGATTACAATTTTGGCAGATAAAGGTAACTGCGAAGAAATAATAGACTTTTGTAAGGCATTTGACTTAGCACTGTGTGACTTTCTGATTAAAAATTTAGTGCTGTACAACATTGACGAAGCGCACTTGAGCGAGGACCAAGCTGCCTGGCAGGTCCCAAGGCCACTGATCACAGTCAGGGGGACATCCTTGTGCAACATAAAATTGCTGTCAGGACAAACTCGGGTGACAGACAGCATGGCAAATAACGGGGAGGACCAAGCAGCCAGGTGAAGTGCTTGGCAATTGGGGCTTGTTTGGTGAAACCCTCTTTTCGTGACCCTGCTCTCAACGCCCTCGAAAAAGGCTGGTGGACCACAGCTGCAGAGGAAAGCATCCCCAAACCAGCCATTTTGGTGGGCCTGGGGGTCCAAGCAGACAAGGAGCTCTTTCCATGGCCTGGCTGGCAGAGCCACGGTGTTCTTTGGGCACTCGGAGGAGTGACTTTAGGGCTATATAGCTGGTTCTGCCAAGGCTGCAATTCTGCAAGCTGCTCGGCTGGCCTCATCATCTTCAAAACTGGATGCAAAAGGGAGCCACAAATGTTCAAGAGCTAGCAAAAATGCTTTTCACTTAACAAGGGCTCTAAAAGCTCAAACTGCTTCATTTATGACAAGGAAGAGCAAGATGACTCAGGCCATCTCGAACATATCCATGAAGAGGACAAAATGTAATACTTAAAGATGAATATTCCAGAGCATGAAAGCACAGCAAAACTCAGTGCTCAAACCCAGATAAATTTCTATTTGGAGAAGGAACAGCAGTTGTTTTAGAAAGAGCAACTACAATTAACCACTGGAAAAACACATTCCTTCCACCAAAACAGGTGCAAGCGAGTGATGGGTTATGATCAAAGACCCTTTGAACAAAGACCCAAAAGCAAGAGTCGTTATCCAAACCACTGCCATCAGCTGGTTCATCTGCAGCATTCCCATCTCTTCAGTAAAGCCAACACCAGAGATATAAAGTGACCCTACACTTTTTCAGAACTCAGAGTCTTGATATGAAGCAAGCTACTAGCTTGGTTTTATTTTGGAGGACATCTGAAACCATCCTTAGCAAAGGTTTCTTTGTCCCAGGAAACAAGCAAGACTGACAGTCCCCACGGCAGTAACTAGATAAATCCAGGGTCATACTTCTCTATTCTGCCAAATTTAATGGGAGAAACAGACTTTCTCCCTTTACATCTCATTCAAAAACTCTAGATCAACAGGGTATCTCTGATTCTCTCTGGAACTGCAAATACTTCAAACTCCAAAAGGTCTCGGTCGCATCTCAGTGGAAGGGAAACGATCTTTAAATTCCTGCTGAATAGGAAAACTATGTCTCACCCAGTTCTAATCATAGTTGCATTCATGGTTTGTGTGTTGGGAAAAAAAAAAAAAAAAAAAAAAAAAAGCCAGCAAACAAACATTTAACTCTTCTCTGTCTCTTTGTGTTACAGCTACATCACACTGTCAGGGAGTTTAGTTCCTAAATTCAGGATAACCTGGAGAACAAGACAAGGCATTTCTGGACAGAGTGCATCATGCCACTCACATTTCTCACTCCTGCCAGCCTGCAGACGTGCAGAGTTAGATCCCTGTGAAACAGCATTGTTGAGCTTGACCGCTCTCTGGTCCGAGAGTGGCAAAATCAAGGACAGATTTAGCAGGTAAAAGAAGAGGAAAGGGAAACATGTGAGGAACATTCAGAGCCTATACCTTCCTCAACTTTTCTCTCCTTTTATTTGTCAGACTGAAGAAACTTCATTAGGACATACACAGGGAAGCTCAGAGCATTGAAGCGTAAGCTGCACTGTATCACAGGAAAATACCAACTTAAACAAACCCTCACAAGTGAGGGTGAAAACACTAAGAGCTCTTTACCTATTCCCTTACCTATCCATCAGTCAGTAATCACCATCCTAAGAGCACCTCCAAACTCATTACAGAAGGGGAAAAGAAAAAAAAAAAAGGCATAAAACAGAGATCAAAATAACAAATTAAATAGAAGATGAGAAACAGATCCCTGAAATAAGAAATGAGACTTTGCAATCACTTTGTCATTTGTTGTTCTAAATTTTGCAAGCTTTACCCCAGGGGAATGTTAAATTTAGGCGTGTGGTGTAAACCAGGCATGCAGTGCAAGAGGACCACAGTGGAGCACGCTGAGCTCCTTCACCACTTTCACCACCGTGACAAAAGTTTGTGCAAGCTACCTCCCACCCATTTTTTTAGCTCCAATTTATCGAATCCTACTTTTCCCCTCCACATCTTTTCCCCCTCTCAATTTACTGCAGGAAGAGAGGAGGAACAGACTAGCTGGATAGCACAAGGCGAACACACAGCTGGAGCAACTGCGCCATGGTCACCATTCAACAGACCACAAGAAATCCCATTTTCCAGGGTGGCCAGAGGGAAGGTGCTGTTGTCCCACCCAGAGGTGAGGCCAGACCAAGGCCAGCACCCGCCCCAGCGATATTCAGCTCTGCAGCTGGACTCCACACTCTCTCATAGGAATTGCCAAAGGATTGCAAAAGCAGTGCTAACACCTTCACGTATGGGTGTTTGTATCACCGGGAAATCGTCAAAAAAGCAGAGGATCCTGCTCAGACAGGGTGTGCGGAGCCCAAGGAGCACCACATCTGTTAGAAACCCTCCTCGGGTCGCTTGGAAAGAAAACCAGCTTGCTCTGGCTCTCCCCAGGGCCACGCCAAGGATGCTGTTTGAGCCCCCACAAGCCCAAGTGCCAACCTGGCTCTGGAGAGGGCTGAGGAAACAGGGACAAATTATCCTTCTGCAGTGCAAAGTTATAAGCTCCATTTGTTTCCCCTCAGGAATCAGACTGGGCAGTTAAGTGTCTTGATTCCACCAGATAATCACAATTTATCTTGTCGCCTTTTGTCTCCTTTCTCTCAATCATGGCTACTTCTCCCTCTTTCTCACACATACATAGATTTTCTTCTTTCACCAAGTCTTGAACTTTGATTGACCTCAGGAGCTTTTTGTCATTTTTGTCGCCTCTTGTTTTGTTCCTGCTAGCATTTTATTAAATTTTTTAGGTTTGGCTGCTTTATAGGGTGTACTTTACCCACCCCAACCCCCCATACAGGAACTCCCATCTCAGCATCTTGCTTGTAGCTGTAAAACCTGTATATTTTTCTTGCCCTTCTATTTTGCCAAGGAGGAAAGTAGGCAAAGGGAGTCTGTCTTCCCAATTCCTCTCAATTGGTTTTGCTTTCAAGAGGAGGATGAGAAAAGAAAAAAAGCCAACTCTCTGGGTGGATCCCAGAGCTCCTAGAGGGTTTGGGAAGCATCGAGAGCCAGGGCCAGGAAGAGAGTTGGAGGATGAAGAAGCTGCCAGAGCAAGATGCGGACACAGTGTGCACAGGAATGGGGTGGGGTGGAATGGGGGGCACTGGGATACAACGGGAGGGGTAGGTTTCTAATTAGTTGCTCAACAAGATGGTCTCTTATAAGGTCTCATCCATACCTAAGCGGAGTTAATAGGAATCTCTCCACTGACTGCACTGGCTTTTGTGCTCAAGACTTCAGGCATCAGCTACACTTTAATATTAAAAGGGTTTTAACCCCTGCTTT